CATGTCACTCCGTTGCAGCAGTTGGCGTCCCCGGGGCAGCATGTGCCAGATGTGCACTGTCCTCCGCAGCAGACCTTCCCTGCCGCGCAGTCCCCGGCGGCGCAGCAACCCTTGCACTCTCCACCGCAGCATTTGGTGCCTGCACCGCATGTCACTCCGTTGCAGCAGTTGGCATCCCCAGCGCAGCATGTACCATTTGTGCACTTTCCATCGCAGCAGCGCTGATCGGCTGCACATTGTCCATTGCCACAGCATTCCCTGCAAATTGAGCTGCAGCATTTCAGACCATCAGGGCATGGGTCTCCTCCACAGGACTGGCCTTCTCCGCCGCTAGCATGAGCAGGCCAAATCAGCAGGCCAGCTAGAAGAACGGAGATCAAAAAGCTCCACTGGCGAACGGTCTCCATGGCTGTGCTACTTATAACGAGGGCAACCTTTTTGAACCTGCAGTCTTTACTTCAAGATCCAAGAGCAAAAATGCAGCATGATGTGGCATTCGGTTAGTTCCGCTGAAGTGTTATGGGAGTTGTGGTACAAGGATACACTGCCATCCCATCCTTTTCCTCCATCACCTTTCTGCACCTTATTACCTCTCCTGTCATCGGAACAATCAATTTTCACTCTTTTTTGGTTTAGGGTTGAGGGGCATGTCCAATCGTCTTTGCTAGGGGACGCCCCCGGGCCCTGGGTTTGGTAATGCATACTAGAAAATATAACGGTGGGCCCACATACTGGGCCTCACTACTTTCCGCCACAAAATGGGATACTCAAACGTGCGCTGCACTTACTGTCCACTATACATGTGCAAATCCACGACGCATAGTCGTTAGGTGTCGTGGTGAATTACCACTGTCCACCCTTGTATGGTTCCCAGCCTGCAAAATTTGTTAGGTGGAGAGTCCTGCAAGGAGCTCAGGGTGCGGACCTGAAGTTGAAGAGTGTGGGCCTTGCTGCACTACTCTCCAAATGTGCAAAATGAGACTGAGTCCACGGCCCGAGCATGGAAAGATAGATGGCCATCTTTTTTGCCTTTTGTGCATGTGGAGAGTACTGCAGCAAGGCCCTGTACCTGGAGTCTGGGCAGACTAACTGTCCGTGTCTTGTAGTGCTATCACGGCGTCTGGTAGTGAACTCACTACTTGGAGAGTTGTATAGTGGACAGTAAGGGGCTCGCCATTGAAAAATTTGACGGCTGTCAGAATTAATTAGCAGCCCCCCTCTCTAGACAGTTTGCCCCCCTTTAGCCACACAGCACTGTAGAATGAATGCACTTGCGAAAAAGACCAACGCCCGGGCGCGACATCCATTTTAGTCCATCTTGACCTCACGCCCACTCAGTGACACCAAATTTTGAGGAGAAGTCTATCTATCATGCAGCCGAGGACTGTTGAAAGCATAGGAGTAGCAGACTGGGGATTCAATAACTTTGGGAAGGAGGTGTAGATAAGCATTCTCTAACAACTTGCGTAATATTATCTTCCTGTCTCCACTTTTGACAGGCTGTGTTGCCAAGAGAAACTATCGAAGATCGTGTTTTGGACAGTGGTGGGGCTCACCACACCACTGTCGAAAGGCTCAAAATTTGGACCACTGTCAGAAGAAATTCGACGGCGGCTACGTGACACCCAAGGCCTCGGCCGCAGACAATCTGGCCGCCGTGGCCAGGAGGCCTAGTTTGCAGTCCGTTTTTTTTAATATTTTTTGGGGGGGTCAAAAAATACGCGGCACTGAAGAGAAAATAAAAAATATGGGGTTGTAGAGTTTGCAAAACCCTACAATCCCAATATTTTTGTTTTTTAATTTGGCTTCATTTATAAATTAAAAAAAAAAAACGAAAAACGAAAAACGAAAAACAGGTAAAAAGGGAAAAAACAAGGCTACCAGAGTGGCCCGGGGTCACTAGCCCGGCCGGGCCCAAAAAAATAAAATAAAAATAAAAATAAATCAATTTTTTATTTTCCATTTTTTTAATGACTGATATGGAGTTAGACGCTGCCTTAGCGCATGGTTACCACGGTGCGCAGGCAGCGGGGGATAGCACGGGAGTAGCTGTTGTTAAGCTATGCTCAGCCAGAGCTTGCTGTTGGGTATGGCGGAGGCGGTGGGGTGATAGAGCGTGAGGGCGCCGAGGTGGAGGCCGCTTCCAGGGGGCACTACCATGCACCTGCCATAGCCAGTCTTGGTCAAGGCTTGTTGGTAATCCTGGATTGACCGTGAGAGGAAGGCAGAGATGTGGGGACGGTTAACGGGCAGGATCTGCGCACCCTACATAACAGAATTATGACCCAATCAGGGGCTTCGCTCGCTGATTGCAGATACGTAATCTTAAGTATAGAACCTTAGCATCTACTTTTGGGCGCTGTGCCTAGGCTCGGGACGACGACAGATCCCCTGCTATCGGCGCGATGGTGCTGCTGAATGAGATGGTTTGGGCTAGGTCTTCAGTCGCTGAGCCAGAGACGACGGATGAGAGTGCACCGGTAAACGTCGACTTCCGGGAGAGAGACGATGGACTACACACTGTGATTGGTATCGCCTATAACGCTGACAAATGCTTGGCCGGGGCTTCAGCTATGACCAGGGTTGTCCACTGTCGCTTTTACTCCTGCTTTGGACGTGGTGTTGCTCAGGATCTCCTGATCTTTGGGTTTTCGACGACTTTATGATTGTGATATGTGTGACTGTGGTAGCAAGGCTTTAGATAGTTGTGATATAATCCACGATTTCGAAGTTGATCGGACTAGTGATCGTGGTTAGAACTGCTGTCTAGTGGCAATCAGGGTTTGGGCAACTCTAATTAGTAATTCACAGCATGCGATCACCTATTGGTTTGAGCAACTTTTGATGATTTCATTGCTTATTGCGCTTTGTCCGGCGGTATAGATTCGAAATTTCGGTTTATAGCTGTCCAGTGGTACCTCTTCATGGTTTAATTGGTTATTGTGTTTAGTAGTTATGGATTCGAATCTTTTGCCTCAGGGCTGAATGGGAGAGTAGTTAGGGTAAGAGAGATACCGAGTTTGGCAGTGTATGTTTCCTATCGGTTGGTAGTAGTGGTTACGGTTCTAGCATTATTGTTTGCGGTAATTAGTACTGGCTAGGGTTTGTGTAATTCCGAGTAATTTTGTGTTTTGGGCCTTTTTTTTTTTTATGACGGGTCAATAGTAAACAGCGTTTGAGTAATAAATAGGGTTTGAATTCGACTTTTCTTTGTGGTTAGGTAACTACCTTTTTGTTGCTTTTGTTCTTTTTAGCAACTTGGGACTGATAGTACCCGGGGGGGCCGGGGTCTCGGTAGCTAGATGGCTGGGGTCGGGGATAGGGTTGGCGGAAGTGCCTTTCTTAGCCTATGATGGCTTCAGCATCTATGTGAGGGACACCGGGCCCGTTTCCCGGTTTTTATAATGAAATTGCTTTAAAAAAAAAAAATAAAAAAAAAATTGGCACAGGTAATTCTCTTTTTTCTTCTTCGTCAGTCTTCTTTTTCTTCTTTGCTGTTGTTTATTTTTTTTCCTTCTTTTTCTTCATCGCTGTTTTTTTTTTTTTTCCCTTCTTCTTCTTCGCTGTTTTTTTTCTTCTTATTTTTCTTCTCCTCCTCCTTCGTGCAACTCGGCTGCGGTGGTCCTCGCAGCAATCTAGCGAGGATCCTCCACCAAAATCGAGGTAGACAGTGAATATGAAGTGGAGCATGAGGTGGATGAATATATACTCAGGATTGGTATTCAGGTCTGTGTTTCAGCAGTTATGGGTTGCTCACTTAACTAGGCCCTGTTGGTCTCTGCACTTGATTCTCAGGGCTTGGCTGCTGTAGTCACAAAATGTGCAGAATTAGAATGAATCTTCTACTAGAACGTAATATTCCGCCATATGTTTCTTCTTTTGTGCATATTGAGTGAAGGCCCTTAGGGCCACTGCACATATTCCTAAGAAAAGAAAATGGAGAAAACAAAAGAAAAATTGGAAAAAAACTAGGCTACGAGCCGGGCCGCCCGGGTCCTGGGTGGCCAGCCCGTGCAAGGACCAGGGAAGGTCTCAG